GGCTTGCAGAATTCTACCCTGCTTCCTGATCGCCATTATGCAAACGCACCTTTCTCTGGCACTCGCTGTTAGCTTGGTACGGAAAGGAAAGGCTCAGATCTCACGTGCCTCTTCTCTTCCTGTCCGTCATTGGTTCTCTCAGTCCCTCGGCTTGTCGCTCCGCTTTTTACATCTGCCAGGCCCACTTCTCTACCTTTCTAGATATCCAGCGCAATTGGGTTTGTCTGGCAATTCCCCTTACTCTGGCTCCTCCTAAGGATGCTTCAAGACCCGTCACTACGCATTGTACGCATTGTACGTAAAAGATTCCCCCCACCCCCAAGCCGGGCTGTGGTGGTACACACCTTTAATCCCAGCACTTGGGAGGCAGAGGCAGGCCGATCTCTGTGAGTTCGAGGCCACCCTGGTCTACAAGACCCAATTCTAGGGCAGGCACCAAAGCTACACAGAGAAACCCTGACTAGAAAAAAAACAAAACAAAACAAACAATCAAAAAAGATCTCCCCCAATGGGGTCCCTGAAACCTGTGGTCCAGTCATGGGGTCACTTATTTCCTCAGATATTCTATTACATAGTCCAATTATCTGCACAATTTTAAGGACCAGCTGCTGTGATTAGGTTACATCCTGGGGCCAGGAGTGGATTTCCTCAGAAAGAACATTATTAGAGAGGGTTCTGAAATCTCACTACATTCAAATTCCAGCCCCAACAATTTTGAGCCTGTTCCCCATGTAACCAACACCCTTCTAAGTTCATTTTCTTTCTTTTTTTATTTTTAATTTTTTAATTTTTTTTTATTTTTAAGTTCATTTTCTCAGCTGCAAGCTAATAGTACCTAGTTCAAAACCTCTGTGGAGAGCTCCTGAAATAATTTCCAACAGAGATTAGCCCAAAGCCTGGGCCAGGGCAAAGCCAAACAAAGAGTGTATATTGTTAATACTAATTATTATTATGAGACTATGTATCAGAATACATGTGACAAATAAGTGTTCTGCTCACTGAGGTAACCCTCTATTGCTTAGTAACCTTTTTTGTTTGTTTGTTTTTGAGACAGGATTTCTTTGTTGTTTTGGAGCCTGTCCTGGAACTAGCTCTTGTAGACCAGGCTGCCCTCGAACTCAAGAGAGATCTGTCTGCCTCTGCCTCCCAAGTGCTGGGATTGAAGGCCTGCGCCACCATCGCCCAGCTGCTTAATAACCTTTGATGTTTCCTCTAAGTTTCTAAGTTACAGATATGATTCTGTAATTCCAGCACTCAGGATGTGAAGTGGGCAGGGGGACCACGAGCTCCAGCTAGCCTGAGTTGTTGCATAAAACCCACAGTCCTGTCTTAAAAACAAGTTGTTGTTTTTTAACCTCTAGATTTCCACAAGGCACACTTTTATTGTTTGATGTGAACTATGTGACCATGTTTGGGGTTTGCAGTTTAGAGGAAGGCAGGCAGACTGTGCTTTTGTTTTGAATAATTTATTTATTTGTAAAAATCAGTTTTTGAGGCAGAGTCTTGTATAGGTAGCCCAGGTTGCCTGGAACTCCACAAGCAGGGAAGGATGGATGACCTCAGACTCCTGATCCTCCTGCCTCCACTTCCCAAGTGCTGGGATTACAGGTGTGCACCACCAAATTACATGGTACTGGGTGAAAAACAGAATTTTGAGCACACTAGGACAAACACTTTACCAGCTGAGCCAAGAGCTAAGACCCTAGCCTAGGAAGGCTACGTTTTCAACATTCCTTTCACAAATCAAAAGTCTCCAAGGTAGTTTTGTATTTTCTGTTGCCATTTTATTTTTCCCAGTTTTATTACATACTTTTGTTGAATTTTCTTATGAGGCCTTGATTGGCTTTGGAACTTAATAGAATTTAATGGCCTCAAATTTGCAACAGTCCTCCTGCCTCTGCCCCCAAATGTAAATTGTAATTTCTAGCAATGAGGGCCTGGGGTCAGGTAAACAAACCAATACTCCACCAGTAGCCTTCCTTTGAAAACCCAGTGTCTTTTTTTTCCCCTCCTTCTGTATAGAGTGACTGGGGAAAGCGGGCTGATTACCCGAGCAGAATAATGTATACATGACTGTCTTCATGGTCACCACCTCCCTTTGGCCTTCAGCTGTGCCTGATGAAGCTGTCTCTTTGGCATGTATGTCCTAACCTGTGGGCTGTCTCGAACAGAAAACTCCACTTGTATTTATTTCGGGAACATATGATTTTATCTTAGGGACCTTAATGCAGCTCATAATATCAGCACCCTCCCTCTGGATACACAGCACATTCTCTCCATTGTTAATCCTGCTCCCAGGGCGGGTGGCAGCTTCTCAAGGCTGTGCTGGAATTACAGGCCACTTTGTTTGTGCAATTGCTTGAGAAGCCTGGCACCATTGATTTGCATCGGTGCCTCCGGAATAGCCTTTTGCCATCTCCTTAAAGATACTATCTAAGCTGTGAAATTCATTAAATAGCCCCAGAAATGGATCAGGTTATTTAACACAACATCCCTAATGGTGCAATATCTCAGCTGTCTATACTGATAGCGAACATTGTCTTGGATAGCGTTATCAGTCCAGGACACCCGCTATGAATATTGATCCCGGGCTTGTTACAGCCATCACTTGCCATCAGGACAGGTCAGAGTTGGAACCCACCTAGCATCAAAGCAATTTAAAGACAGCACTCAAACAGAATTTTAATGTCCAGGCTGGGGAAAGAAGAAGAAGAAGAAAGCAAAAAAAAACAACAAAAAAACAAAAAACAAAAAACCAACAGCCAAATCAACCCTACGCACAGAGGGAACGTATGCATTCCGTAGAAACAGCCTGGGTAGCACATGTGCCACACTAGTGGGTCAAGCATCAAGCACATTTCCCAGTTGTGCCTGAAGGGAGGTTTCACTGCCTGATGGTTCATACCAAGTGAGTGGTCAGAGAAACGGTTCCCTGAAACTTCCTGCCTCTGTCTCCCCTCGGCGGGAAGACATACCCTGGTCTTTGGGCGTTTATCTCCAGGCTGAATGAGTGAGACAGCAATGTTTCTTCCATGTCAGTTAGTATCCAGAGTCAAACACTAAGCAGGGTTCCTGGACTGTCGCCCTGTAGTGAACACACACACAGGAGAAACGGTGAGAAAGTGAAGACAGCAATATAAAATCCCATCACAAGAAGGCATGCTCAGGAGTCTTCAGATTACACAACGTGGCCTCTCCATATTCTTGGATTTTCTCTCCAATGTGCAACTTCCTGCCATTTTTGGTCCCTTTTCTGTATTTAGAACCATAGACTTCAAAGGAAAAATGACTCATACAAAAGGAAAAACCTTTATATAACTTAAACAACAACAACAAAAAGAGGCTATGGAAGTACAATGACATAATCCAAGTTCTGTCTGATGCGGGGGGGTAGGATATCGGGGCTCTTTCCTGTTCCTCTGGTTTAGGATGTGGGTGCCCTCTGGGATGCTTACCCCACCCTCCCATTCTTATGAAACAGCCTCAGTGTTCGCTCCAGAGAAGAGGGCAAGAGAAGGAACGTTTTATCTATTCCCAGTTACCCTGAAAAAACTAATATATATATTATGGAAAAAGGTAGCTGGAATTGGGGTCAATAGAGGAGGGGAGAGAAAGAAAACGGAAGACTTAAAAAATGTGGGAAGAGGTGACAAAGGGTTATCCAAACAGAAAACAAAGTGTGTGCATTCCAGAAGGATCTGTGATTTGCAGGCCTTGTCCCTGGTCCCCAGCCTCTCAGCTTCTGGGCTCTTTTCCCTGAGTTTCTCATGGCACAAATTCCCTTTGGCAGGGGGGTTTTCTGGTGGGCTTGGGCTGGGTACTTCCTTCCCACCACTTTAAAAGCGCAATCCGTCTTTGCTTTAAGGCTGGAGCTGACTTGAATTTCGGCAAGGCTTTAAAGTCGGCAGGGAATATGGTGGGCACCCCTGGGAGGGACTAAAAGGTTTGAATGAGAAAAGCTACAAGGAGCTAGCCCCCCGAGGATGCCTCTTTACTAATAGATAGGATTAGTAGCCCCCAGCACTTTAGTGCGAAAGAGTCCCCTCCTCTTCCTACTTCTTACCTGCTCAGACAATATTAATTGCCAAGACATTGTCTGGGAACCGCATGGGGCAAAGAAGAAAGGAGCGGCGGGGTCCGAGGTGGCTCTGGGGAGTGGAGTTAAGTGAGCGATGCTTCAGAACTGACCGCTGAAATAAATGCCTAATGTTCACAGCGGTGACAAAAAGAAGGAAAGTCACCACGGGTGTGGCCACAGTGAGTACAGTGAGCTTTCCCTCACCGCCAATGCTGGCTGTCCTCCCTGGAGGGGGGGGGCAGATGGGGCCATTTTAATCGTATCTCTTCTCTGATCTTAAATTCAAACCAACGGGCATCTTTTAACCTTTTCCTTCTTGTGGTTGGGCAAGGATGGGGGTCAGAGATAGAGTCAATTTCTGATACTAATGATGGAATCTGTGACTGTGGGCAGCGAAAATGTCACTCTGGGTAACTGAAAGAAAGACAGCACCCTCAGTCGAGCTACCTTGCCCTGAGCCCACGGCCATCCTGGTTGGACACTTAATCTTTCCTATAATTCACCCTTTGGCCTCTGACCCCTCTCTGGGTAGAAAGAAAAGTCTCCTGTGCAAGGAGAATTTTTCGCTTCCATTTTCCAAGACAGAGGACGTGCTGAAAAAATCTCTCTAGCCCAGTCTAGACTCTTGTTGACCGCAGTGACCCTGGATAGATCTTTGCTCATCTTTGAACCTCATTTTTCCTGTCTTTGAAACGCAGACTGTAGTCCCGGGCCACGCCCACCTCACAGGGAAGCTTAGAAAATCAAAAGAGAGTGAGAAAACCCCAGGGCTTTGTAAACTGTAAACACACCGAGGCTTTAAAAATTTGAGGTAAATGGTCTGACGTCGTTACTGTGGTTCACAGATGGTGCATGAGATGCGCCAAGCATCATTGCGGAGGGATTAGGCTTAGGCTCGGTGGCGTCTTCAGGTCAAAGACAGATGGCAAGTGCTCCAAGAGAAATAAGTAAACTTCAGTCAGGTAGGTGTGTGAGTAGAGGGGATACTCGAGATGAAAGCCTCCCTGGCGCCCTTCACGAGTTTCTACAGGATGGAAGGACACTCGCGCAGCTTGCAACCGTGACCCCTGGATTCGGGAGCGCGCATTGGCCGGCAAGGATCCCTCTGGTCCAGGTCAGCCGCCACCACGCCACGCGAGATAGTCCTGAGGCAACTGCGAACTCACCCTGCACGTGGCGGGGGTCTGGCCAGTGCAAGTGCCAATCCGCAAGCAGCCCCCCGCTGCTCTCCTCCCGCCCCGCCTCCTTGTCCCCCTCCCCAGCTTCACTTGGCGGGGAAAATCCAGTTGGAGACTGGAGCGCTGTGACCGAACCACAACCAAAGGCAAGCCCTAGTGCACCCATCCCGGACCGGTTGAAGCCGGCCTCCAGTCCGTGGGAGGCGGGTATGCTGGCATGGCAGGATGGCGGGGCCAAGGCGGCTCCTTCTCACCACAAGATTTCCTTCTCTGTCCTGGACATCTTGGATCCGCAAAAATTCACGCGAGCTGCGTTCCCACCGGTGCGTCTAGCTGCCCGGGAAGCCAAGAAAAGTTTAGCGGAGGTGGAAGCAGGGGAAGACGCCAGCCCCGAGTCTACGATCGGGTCGCAGGACACCCCTGGTAAGAATGCGAGGTGGTTTTCAGTCTAAGACGGTATCCGTGTGTATGGAGCAGCCACGGTCTGATGAATGGATGTTGGTGGCCTGGGAACTAGAGAAGGCGCACCCGCGCAGGTGCGAACTGAAGCATCCCTCCTTGGAAAAAGAAAGAGACAGGGATGAGGTTGAGATTCCAGGGCAGGTATGTGCCTCATTGCTGAGCACCTGCTCAGTGCGTGAGCGCCACAGCTCTGCCTGGCTTGCACATCTAACGGAAATGTTTTACGCTGTCCACGTGCTAGAACCTGGGCTAGGAGCAGGGGTAAAGGTTATGAAAACGCCTATCAAGTATATAGTATCATCAACACCACTCCTTTTTTTATGGTTGAGGTAACTGAGACCAGGATTAGGTCCTTATTTTCAAAGCTTCCGAAACACCTGCAGAGCCCGTCCGTGCCTTCACCTTTCCTGGATCTGACAGGGGACTGGGGGTGGGCAAACAGGAAGCTTTTGGTGCTTTCTCTTCTAGACTATTCCATCTCATCCCTGAAGGTGGTTAACATCAAAGGAAGGGTTCAGGAAAGTTTGTGGCTGGAATTTAAGACAGAAGGATTCATGCCGAGTGGGACATGGGCATGGGATTCCTTGGAGGGACGCTGAAGGTCTAGGAACTCTGGTCCTGGGGAAGGCTGTATGCAGCACAGTCCCCTGCTCCTCTTTTTTAAGTTTGGCAGTGATTGTCTGGGGCCCAGAAGCCTCTGGTGGCCTGGCTTGGGGTCCGGCTGAGGGCCTGGATTAATTGTTTGGATGGTCTCTCTGTTGGGCCGCATTCCCCTCCCCCTCAACTCCTTGATCGATATTCTATTACTGGCGACTGCATATCTCCTGCCCGCAGCTTGCAGGTACTGACTTCAAACCCCCTTTCCCTGTCTGATCCTAATATTGTTCGATTAAAACTTACCTTTAATAGATGACATCTATCGATCAGGCCCCGGACAAATCTGAAACTCTATTAACACGGCCGGAGAGAGAAGATGGGAAAGGGGGAATTTCTCCTTTTGGGGGGAGGGGGGACTTAATAACTTCTTTTTTAATTGCTAGGAGTCCCACAGCAAAATAGGCTTCTAGGGACCGGGGAGATTCAATAGTAAACGCATTTGACATTCCCATATCATAATACACAGCCGACTCCTCTCTCCTCGGGTCGATGACGTCACTGTACTTTCTTGATATGGGGTGCCATCCGACATATACTTTTTGGGTGACTATTTAAGGGTAGATTTGTAAAGGGCAAGAGGATACCGTATTCCTGAATCTGCTCCCTAAGATGTGCGGGCTGGGGACAGAAGAGGACACAGCGAGAGTGGAGTTGGATCAAAGGGAAAGCTAAGTGCTCTCGGGGAGTACAAGAAGGTTTGGGGATGCGGACGGGTGGAGTTGTTACGGGCTTCTGGTCACCCTGCCCTTCTCTCTTAGATGCCACGGGCCGAGGCATTGGCCCCGCGTCCCCCCTGGAAGGCTCGGAAGCGGAAGAGGAGGAGGAAGCTGAGGACGCGGGGCGCGCTCAGCTGCGGGAGCGGCCGGAGCGCTGGCAGGGGGTTCACGAGCGCTCCCCAGAGGCCCGGGCGGTGGTGACGGGAGTGGGGGAGAGTGGCACCGACCCGCTGCCAACATCCCCCGGCTCCCCCGGCTCCCCGCGGCCCCGGCGCCGGCGATCTGAGCCTAGCTGCGCCAAGCCACGGCGCGCGCGCACAGCCTTCACCTACGAGCAGCTGGTGGCTCTGGAGAACAAGTTCCGAGCCACGCGCTACCTGTCTGTGTGCGAACGCCTGAACCTGGCTCTGTCGCTCAGCCTCACCGAGACGCAGGTCAAAATCTGGTTCCAGAACCGAAGGACCAAGTGGAAGAAGCAGAACCCGGGGGCCGACGGCACAGTGCAGGCGGGGTGTGGTACCCCGCAGCCTGGGACATCCGGTGCAGTGGCGGGAGCCTGCGGCAGTAGCACCGGGAGCAGTCCTGGCCCCCAGGTTCCAGGAGCTCTGCCGTTCCAGACTTTCCCCACCTATCCTGCGAGCAACGTCATATTTCCCCCTTCCTCCTTCCCGTTAACGACAGCCGCCACGGGGAGTCCCTTCACTCCTTTTCTTGGGCCCTCCTACTTGACCCCTTTCTATGTCCCGCACCTGTAAATCGGGTACTCCAAATGAATCGGGATTCCCGAGTTATCAGTATGGTGGTGTGGACCCCTGCATCACCGAGGGGCACTGGCCGCCCCCTCCTGGTGTGTTGGTGTCTGTGTGCCCCTTCCCTCCAGCCACCAGAGGGCGAGGAGAAGCCGCCTGCTGGACTCCAAACCACACAGGCCACTGAGGAGTCAAGAAAGTGTCCAGACCAAGCTGACTTCAAACCTTCCAGCTTCTGGACGTTGCTCTTCGCTTTCATTCACTTCCAGGGCTCTGTTTTTAAAGGGCCTGGGTAGTCAATACCAGGCTAATAAGGGTTGCCAGGGTGGAGACCAGAGGGAGCCAAGAATGTCCTGGGCACCAGCTGCTATCACCAAAGACTGAATATTTCAAGGTCCCAGGACGTTCCGAGAAGAACTTTCCTTCCTGGTGGTGGAATTGGCTCAACACAGTACTTCCTCTCACGTCCTGAACAAAGCTGGAGCCAGTTGGACCCAAAGCAGAAAGCAGCTATCGAATGGACTATTTTCAAGATGCCTAACTCAGCATTTCTAGATCTTCATTTGAGATTCAGGCTTGAGCCAGTTACTGACGCTAACAGACTACCTTGTTTTCTGTGTGTAGACTCTAGGCGTATCAGGAAGTTGTTTAGCGTTGTGCCTAGACGGACGTGGAAAAGACACAACTCTGTTGCCTCGCAGGGTTTGAGAATAGCTTGGTCAGACGACAGCAGTGTCCCAAATGCACAAAAAGGACAGTAAAGGGAATGATGACCCAGAGGCTATGGTGAAGTCTGTGTGTGAGTTGGTGTGATGTGCTCATCTGTCCATCCGACACCTTCATGGACTTCCAAACTGACAAGTTGGAACAGAGCAAGGTCCACGAGCAGGCATTGCAGTCAGGCATTTGCCTGCATTTTTGAAAGCACAAGTGTAACATATTTAAAATACCCGAGATTCTGACTTGAAAACCATTCTTGTTCTAAACAGATTTTTTGTTATTGTTGTTCCTCCTAATGACAGTGAACAAGCAAAAGTTGTAAGAGCCTGGGAAAGGAATACTTACCAAGTGTAAAGAGTTGTTGTGGAGGCCAAAACCTTTTTCACCAATGGGCTCAAGGATACATATGTTCTGACTGCTGCTTTCTTTATTAAAACAAAGCAAAGGTAGTCTGTGGAGTTCCCTTGCTGGTTTTGTTTGAAATACTAGTTTTCTGTGTTATTTGGTCTTGTAGTCACCCCTCAAGACCCAGATGACTCCATCTGCCCTATTTTGTGTTTCATTTTTACTTTTTTGATAGCTTGAGGCTAGCCAACACCTAAATGAATACTGTATTCCCTACAATTTCTTGGCAGCCTGTACCACTAAAATTAAACTTAATGATCAACAGCTTTAAGTTAAAAACACACACTGAAATTATGACCATTATAATCTTGAAATAATTAACTTTATTATTATGAGGAATGATAGAAAATACTCCCCCCTTTCTTCCAACTTATATGAAGACTTCATCTTCTGGGACTCTAAGATTTGTGAGTTTGAATTATTTCATTGTGTATTTGGTAATTAGACTCTTTCCCTTCTATCCTGAAGAATAATGTCCCCAAACACGGCATCATAGCTTCTCAAAAGACTGTTGGTGCCAGATGAGATTAGAAATGAAGTTACTCCAGCCGAGAGTACAATTTTATTCACCGTACATGCTGGTAAAACAGTCCTCCAGTGAGTGACCGCTTGTCCTTGACAGCAGCATCCCATGTCTGTGAACATATACTGCAAATGCTCAAAGATAAGATCTGAACAAAGAGGTCCAATTTCTGCAATAAGTGGGAAACATTTCACTCCAGCCCTTCCAGGGGCCAGGACCATAGACTTCAGAGGAAGTAGAGACTTAGCCTTGTCCTGTCACCCAAAATCCTTCCTCACACCACACACTGTCAGAGTGATGTCCAAAGTGTGTGACTTTGGACTTCTCAAAAGGCCCAGTAATGTTCCAACCAACTCCTTAGACTTGTTTTTATTGATGTGTTGACCTAATAAATTCTTTTTGTAATCATTTTGGTTAATTATTCCTTGCTCATTATTATCAAAACTTAACAATTTTATAATCATCAGAGGATGTATATATCTACTCCCCTTCTCCCACCAGCTAGCTCACAGCTAATAATAATACTTCCTTATGGATCTGTGCTACATGTACATGAAGTTAGAACATTTGTGGGCAATTTTTACAAACACATTCAGGGTCGATTTGGCAAAAGTAAAGCATCTTTGAAAAAAATTTTAACTTCTGGTTTATTGAATAAATCAATACCTACCCATCAGGTTTCTAGGACGTGAGTGTCCTAGCTTTACTTTACAAATTCCTAGTACTCCACTCCCAACCCAAGAGTCTGGTGGATATCTTTACAAAGTCTAACCATTTTCTTGGTTGTAGATTTCTGGGGAAATCTATAAAAGTGACTGTTTTTGATTCTCTCTTAAAGGCATGCAACCAGGAAGCCTTTTTTTTTTTTTTTTTAAAGGGAATGAGTAGGGGACACTTCTCATGTTAAGAAATCCCCAATCCATTTGGCAGGTACAGATTATTGTTTTGGCATTTTGTAGGAAGGTCATGAGGCAGAGTCTCACTGTGAGGCTCTATTTTCTTGTCAAGGAGCTCACTGTGTAAACCAGGCTGGCCTAGGACTCATGGTGATTCCTCAAGCTGTGTGACTGAGCTGTTTGAGAAGTAACATCAGCAAGGCATATGCCTGTAATTCTAGCACTTGGAAGGCTGAGGTAGGAGGATCACCTTTAGAATTCAACTTTAGATTGGGCAACATTTTGAATTTCAGGCCATCTTAGACTACTAAGTTAGACACCCCCCCTCCCCCAGAAACAAAACAGAACAAAAAAAAAAAAACAAAAATAAGAAAAACCATCTCTCACCTGCCTAGCATTTAATACTACTGGGAGAATAACATAAGAACTTCAGTACATGCTGGATACATTTAAGAGGGCAATGACATTACATAATCTGTAACAGATTCAGAGAGAAAGAAACTCAGTTCCTCAGAGCCAAGAAAAGCTTGAAGGTGTTGAAGGCAGGCAACCAAGAAGACACAAGTGGGTCACACCAAACCCCTCCTGGTTCCCTCAGGCTGTGATTCACCAGGATCTCAGCTAAAGTGGGAAAGCATAGTTGAATTATGGCCTCTGACCCCTGATAGGCTGGATTTAAGGTTCACCACCCTATCCTCCATGGAAACAGGACTTTGGAAAATTCCTGGTGCCCGTGTCTCAGTTTCCTCAGTATAACATCTGTCACAGAAGGTGATAGAGGGGACCCTTGAAAAACTATATGGAAAGCATTTAACTTAGTACCTGGTAGAATGATGTCATTTTAGCCAAAAAAGACTTAAAAAATGTTGGCCTTAAGGAAGGAGGTAGATGGAAGTTTCTGTCCCACCTGGTCCACAGCTGTTCAGCCCCAAAGAAACACACAGAGTTACATTAATTATAAACTGTTTGGCCTATTAGCTCAGGCTTATTATTAACTCGCTCTTACAACTTAAATTAATCTATAATTCTTGTCTTTGTTTAGCCACGTGAATTGGTACCTTTTCTCAGTTGTAGCATTCTTATCTTGCTTCTTCTGTGTCTGACTGGTGACTGCATATCTGTCATTCTGCTTCCCAGAATTCTCTTAGTCAGGTTGCCCTGCCTATACTAACTGCCTGGCTACTGGCCAGTGTTTTATTAAGAGTGACAAATATTTACAGTGCACAAAAGTATTATCCCACAGCAGTAGGTAATGTGATTTAGTGGTTAGAGGGGTTGTCTAGTATGTGGGGGGCCAGGGTTCAGTCCTGAGTACTGATATGCCTAACCCTACCATTTGTTTACAAAATATCTGCTTATTTATTTTGTTGTATAATGAACATCCAGGGGTAAGTGAGTATAGCAGAGTCATATAAATTGGAGTACTTGAAAAAAAGTTTTTTTTCTGTTTTTTTTTTTTTTTTTTTTTTTCCCAAGACAGTGTTTTCCTGTGTAACAACCCTAGTTGTCCTGAAACTAGCGCTTGTAGACCAGGCTGGCCTTGAACTCACAGAGATCTGCCTGCCTCCTGAGTGCTGGGATTAAAAAGCATGCGCCACCACCGCCTGGAGTTTTGTTTGTTTTTTGAGAAACGGTTTCTCTGTGTAGTCTTAGCTCTCCTGGAGCTCTCTGTAGACCAGGCTAGCCTTGAGCTCAAAAATTTGCCTGTCTCTACTTCTTGAGTACTGAAATTAAAGATTGTATACCACCATCACCCAGCCAAAATTTTTTTTATTTTATGGGTATGAATGTTTGTCTGAATGTGTGTCTATGCACCATATGTGTGCGGTGCCCATAGAGGCCAGAAAAGGGCATCAGAATTCTTAGAGCTAGAATTACAGATGGTTGTGAGTAGCCATGTGGGTGCTGGAGATTGAACTCAGGTACTCTGGAAGAGCTGCAAGTGCTCCTAACCATGAAGCCATCTCTCCAGCCTACTGCTTCCTCTACCTCCTTCTCTTCTTCAACAGAGTCTTGTGTATGCTATGCAGCCATAGCTTGAACAAGCTATGAAGACAAGGATGCCACAGTTTGTATTCTATTTGAGTGTTTCTGGTCTGGCTTCTTTTTGCTCAACATTATTAGTGTCCTCCATGTTGATTTGGGTAGTTATAGATCAGTGCCGCACCAGCGTGGGCTGGAATCAAGAATCTCGGCAGAGGGTGTCTGGATTGAATGACTGCACAGAGCACAAGGTTGAGGTGGAACAGCTTCTTTTATTGTCTTGCTGGGGCTGGCTTTTATACTGTGGCACCAAATGAGGAGGGGGCAGCAAAGGGACTGTAACCTGACCCTGGCAGGGATCAAGGAATGGTCCCGTCCCCCCCCTCCCCCCCCTCCCCTGCTCCAGGAGCAGAGGGAATTTATTATGTTTTCCTTGCAGATAAGCACCTCAAATGGGGGCAGGGATATCAACTTGGGGC